TTAATGAGCCATGCCTTGTTTCACACCTTGGCTCATGTGATGATCCACATGATCACTAGTAGGTCAACGACTGCCTCTAAATAGGAAAACCTACATTAGCGGATTAATACCTGGGCCTATCCTCCTTTGGATTTTAGAACTGAAGAAGCCTCTTGGATGAGAGGTGAAACATCCTCACAAACTTAAAGAAGGCCAGTTACCGCTTATTTTAAGCTCTCAAGATTATAATGACCTGGATGACTGAGACCACACAGATGTGTTTAATGCTTCATTTCACTCTTCTGTCACTGAAAATGAACAGAATGAGTGCTAAACAGAACAAACCTTTCATGGAAAAATATTGAAAATAAAAATGCAGGTCCTGCAAACAAGGCAGTTGTTAATCTTGGTAATAAATATGCCAATATTCATATCATTAGCAATCTGACACGTTCAACCTGTTAAACCTTAACCTCCATACATTTGGAGGTTAAAATTGCTCATTGATTGACCTGACTTTATTTTGCTTCACAGTGCATCACTAATGAGCCTAATGAGCAGCAAACATAGTACCAACTGCAAAAAGCCAAAGTCAGCATCGCACACAATACCATATTCACATAGAGCAAGACTCAAGGTTAAAACAGCTACAATTCCAACCAAATGCACCATAAATATAAGAACAGTCACACTGACTGAAATTTGATGCACCTCTTCTGTCCTCAGGATACAAAATTCTTTGAATGAGCCTGCAAAAGTCAGCCTGCCCTATCATTTGATTTTTCACTCACAGCTCTGATTTGGCACCATGGACCACACAGTGGATATTATCTCTGATCCAGATCCATGGCTCAACAAGACAACTGCAAATAGCACCTCCACTTACACGCCTACCATGTCACCAGTAATGGACAAAACCATCAACATAATTATGATAATTGTCTTATTTGTGACCCTGGTTTCACTGGGATGCACCATGGAGGTGTCCAAGATCAAGGTGACTACAGCAAGTTCAGTTTCATATGTGAGCTAAATGTAAGGGGACAATCTTATGCTAATGTGAACTTTTCTTCTTCTGTTTCCAGCATCATATGAGGAAACCTAAGGGGGTGGCTATCGCAGTCGTGGCCCAGTATGGCATAATGCCTCTCACAGCTTTTTGCTTAGCTAAGGTTGGTACTGATACAAAGTGAAATAAGATTATAAACACTACAGTAAGAAAGGCAGTAGGCATAATATGTTTGTACTGGAAAATATTTGTGTTCCTGCTTTTTCTTTACTTCATTTTTAATTGTCATTTCTAATGTTAGTAGCGCTAAAACAGTAAAAAAAAAAAAAAGTATTTTCTGTTTTATATTATTCTGAATATATAAAATGGTCATTTAATCTGTTCACTGATTTAGAATTTATTCATGAACTATGACATTAACTGCAGAGGAATCATCAGTAATTAAAAAAAGCAATTAAAGAAAATGCTAAAGGTATTCTTAGTGCACATTTGTGTCATTATCAGATCTCGCTTTTGTTGCTCTTGCATATGAGGTTACTATGATTATTGTGTTACAGCTGTTTAAGTTGGCTGAAATAGCAGCCGTGGTGATTCTGATCTGTGGCTGCTGTCCCGGAGGAGCTCTCTCCAACATCCTGGCTCTGGCTCTACAGGGCGACATGAACCTCAGGTATACAAACAGAAAATATTTAGCTACAAAACTGTTAATGCATTGGGTTTTTTCTTAAACGATCAAACGCACAAAGACATAAATCCTTAGAGATTATTGGTCTTTATTTTATTTGTAAAATTCAAAACCCCCTTACTGCGGGAGGAAGTGCATTCCTAAATGGTTTGCTATTAAAATCTCACATTTTTTAGGTATCTTCTTCTGACACCTCCGAATCCAGATGGTTTAATTTCCTTTGAAACAACTTTAAATAACACACAAGTTAAAGACACAAACCCGTGTGTTTATTTAAATTCAGTTCTGGGAAAAGATATGCAATAAACTGTGTTTTTTTTAAGTTAAGCAACCTCATCCGTCTTGTTATCGTACCGCTGATAATGATAATACACCTTGCAGTCTGAAAAGCAGTGATACACGTTATTAGAAATTAATGTCTTACAGATCATCATCATTGTGACACATTTTATCATAACAGAGCGACACCTAGGCGTTATACTTTAACTCGGCTAGCCTTTCACCTAGTCTCTTATCTTTCCCTTATGAAGCAAAGTTACTTTAGGCTTCGAAACAGTCCTCCTTTATCTGATACGCGAGGACCTTGTTTGGCCTGTTGCTCATAAACATGATCAGTGAGGACAGACTGTGGGCAATGAGGGCAATGAATGCTTGTTATCCAACCAAGTGCCTGGAAGAACATCGTTATCTCACACAACCCCACTAATGCTTTATAAATTAGAATTTTTGTTTTGTTTCGTTTGGGAACAAGAAAATGACCACTGACAAAACTCTGATCTACAAAGGAATGTTAACAAGAGCGTAATGGCATGTACTAGAGTTACATAACACAGTGTATCAGGCAACCTTGTAACAATTAGTTGGAAAGCATGTCATGGGCTCCCAAACCAGCAAAAATAACACAAGCAGAGGTTTCTGCAGGATATGTGGAATTTCCAGTTAGGCAGGGTTTTGGAAGTAATGCATGAGGCTCCCAAACGGTGAGCTGCTCACAAGAGGAAAAGTGGGAAAACTGGACTGTGTTTTTGATAGTATGTAGAAATAAGAGGAACATCCACTTTGCAATCTTAACAATTAACATAAGGACTGCTCTTGGCTTCTAGAGACCTCGCTGCTTAATTTAGACATGATATTCAATTCAATTCTATTCTATTTATACAGCGCCAAATCACAACAACAGTCATGTCAAGGTGCTTTATATTGTAAGGTAGACTGTACAATAATACATACAGAGAAAAACCCAACAATCATTTGACTTCTATGAGAAAGCACTTTGGTGACAGTGGGAAGGAAAAACTCCCTTTTAACAGGAAGAAACCTCCAGCAGAACCAGGCTCAGGGAGGGGGAGACATCTGCTGGGACCAATTGGGGTGAGAGAAGGAAGACAGCATAAGACATGCTCTGGAAGAGAGACAAAGATTAATAATAAGTATGATTCAGTGCAGAGAGGTATATTAACACATAGTGAGTGAGAAAGGTGACTGAAGAAACACTCAGTATGATATGATATGAAGTCTTTCCACTGGGCTCTTGCTTGCTATTTGTAAAAACTGCAGATGGACTGCTGAATCTTGTCCTGTGGACAAGAGCCACCTCCACAGGACAAGACTCAGCAGTCCATCTGCATCTTAAGGATAAAGGACACTCTTTCGAGGATGCCAATGTTCACATTTTGGACAGAGAGGACAGATGGTTTGAAAGAGGAGTAAAAGAAGCCATCTATGTCCACTGTGAGCGACCATCTTTGAACAGAGGTGGTGGTTTACGACACCAACTGTCTGCCATCTATAATCCAGTTTTGAGTTCCCTCCCCAGACGCCTTAACGCCCACTCACATCCTGGGCCATCTGACCTCAGGAATTCGCATGATAAGGTGGGGCCAGGTTTCACAATGAGCTTACCCGAAACCCTGGCTGATTGGGACCCACACCCATTTTCACACCTTGGCTCAGGCGATTAGAGGATCATCAGGGGGTCCTTTTGTCCCTCTTTGGGGGGATACTCCCACTAGGTTTAAATCTGGGACTCCCCACCATTTGACCTTAGAACTGAAGAAGCTTCTCGGATGAGAGGTGAAACATCTTCAAGCAACTTAAAGAAGATGCTTTTCTTTGCAAGCTCCTTTGACTGCACAAATATTCTTCTTCTATTTCTTCTTGTTGTTCAAATTAATTATTTTTTTCTTCTCATTGCTTGGCTTAACCTCAGAATACTGATACTGAATACACATTATTTATGTTGTATGTAAACACATCTGAGACAGAAATATACTCTTTCTGCAGTTTAGAAAGAGACAGTATATTTCTTCCACATTGTTTTCTCTTCATTGGCTCCATTAATTACAGAAATGGTAGTTTTTACTTCCCACTGTTACCAAGTGCTTGCTCATAGGGGGTCATCTGATTGCAGGGTCTTTACCTTGCAAAATAAAGCACCTTGAGGTAACTGTTGTTGTGATTTGGCGCTATATAAATAGAATGTATTGAACCTCTGGAACAGTCAGAATTAGTGCAACCTGTTCGTGTTGTGTGTATGAAGTGTCTCACACTATGATAAATTTTGAATGCATTTTGTCAACATAATGCTGAGAAGGAAATTTTGAGCATTGTGGTGCTACTAAAAGATAAAAGCTGTCACGGTCACGCGCTTATCTTTTTCTTTCAGCATCGTGATGACCTCTTGCTCAACGTTGCTGGCTCTTGGTATGATGCCTCTCCTGCTCTACCTCTACTGTCAGGGTTTCTCCGACCTGCAGAACGCTGTCCCTTTTGTTGAAATTATCGTATCACTGGTCATGATCCTTGTGCCGTGCGGCATCGGCATCATCATCAATGCCTACAGGCCGCAGTACTCGAAGATCATCACAAAGGTCTGTGCATACTCACAAGAGTCTGAAGGTTGGACAGATCACTAGAACTGATAAACAGTGTTGATTAACTGGCACAGAGATAGCAAAGTTAAAGTCACTTCAAAGCTGAGCCTTTAAAATGTATCAGTACATCACCAGTCAAAACTTTCTTACATCAATCAAGTATTTGATTTTGTGTGTCACATGTTTTAAATGAATCTTTCTCATTTTTCTCACATCACATGACTGCACAGTGAGTCCTAAACAGTTTTTTTGGACCAGAGTGGTATATAGGTAACCAGGTCAATGTGAACCAGTACATGTTTTAGAGAACTGTGTTCTGGTTTTTGGATGGTAAAGGATCTCTGTATCACTTCGAAATCAGGCTTCACTATTTGTTACTGGATCGACTTATTTTTGGTTTTGATCTTTTTATTGGATCTGTTGACAACAGAGTCAGGTCCTTAAGTTTTTCAACAGTCATTTTTTGTAGTTTTGCATCTGTACACAATCATGGTGGGTTTAAAATCAAGCAATCAAGATGTGACTCAAGTCAGACTTTCAGCTTTAATTTAAAAAAGTAATTACCTTAACTGTTTGCTACTGTGGTCAAATACAAGTTCAGCTCACAATGTTTTATCTGCCACATTTGTTATGAAGTAAAAGGGAATACGCCTCATTTTGCCTTAAAATGCTTGTCAGTCAACTGTCAAATTGCTATGGAGTTGATTTGTTTCGTGTCCTGCTGTTTGCAGGTAGGCCTGATTATAATGATGATTTTTATCGTGGTGAGCTTCACCTTAACCAACATTGGAATCGGAAGAGTCATGCTGACTGTGCTGTCTCCTTCGCTCTTGGCCATCGCTGCTCTCATGCCTTTGATAGGCTACTCCTTTGGATATGTCCTCTCTGCGATCTTCAGACTCAGCCAGTCGTAGGTTCTTTGGCTTAATTCAGTCATCGAGTCAAGTCAAGGCAGTCACATCAAAGATGAAAGAATTATGAGCCTTTCTGTTTATATTCATGACTCATGAACATGTGTGTCTGTCACCAGGGAGCGGAGGACCGTTTCTGTGGAAACAGGCTGTCAGAACATCCAGGTGTGGATGACCATATTGAAGATAGCTTTCCCCCAGGAAGTGATAGGCCCTCTGTTTCTATTCCCAATGATCTACGGGTCTTTTCAGGTGACGGAGGCGTTTGTGCTCGTCGTGCTGTTCAGGTGCTACCAAAGGTTCACGAAAAAGGAGAAAGGTACATCAGGTTATCTAAGGCCTTTTATGACACAAGAAAAAACATGGGGAACAAACAGGAATAAACAAGAATAAGTTCAGCCTTGACCCTTTATAGTGTTGATGATTAATAACAGTTGTTAGTGGGCATTAATCTAAGCAAGGCAGATTTGATGTAAGCTTTTATTTTGTAGGTTATAGAGACCAATCTTGAACCTCTAATGACATACCCTCATTTGTGTCCTCATTTAATGGCATCAAAATTGACCTTTTATAAAGGTACATAGAACATAGAGGGGTGTTTATTCTACTGTATATAATTTCCTTGTTATTCATCTGAACTGAAGATATTAAATATAAAACAGACTGGAGTCTGAATTACAAGTATGAGATCTTAGAATAACTTTTGTTAGTTTTTAAAACAAAGGCTGTTGTAAATGTTGGATAGTTAAAGGAAGGACCAGTTTATACTTTAGTCATGCTGAAACACTGAAACAAGACTTTTCACCTTAAAAAAACCAAAAAAAAAAAACCAATTTCACAAAAAATATAAGGTATAAAGGCTCTAATACAAACAGTAAAGCCGTGCATTTGTGTTTTTTAAAAATTGGAAGAATAGTGTTAAAAATACTTTTTGATGTGTAGAGCAAGGGAAAGCTGGACTTTTTTCCACAACATACTTTTTGACTTCTCATTACAGTAAAGCACAATTATAATTTTTCTGTCCTGTCAGCCAGCATGAAGTAGCTCTCTTAAACACTGTTGGTGCTTTTTTCTGCTTCCATGTGTCAAAATGGGCCTATTTTTTATGTAGATGAATATCCAGACCACAGAGTTTCATATTTAACCACAAGTTGATCAACTTTTGTGCCAGATCTCAGTTTGTGTTTATAATGGATCTGCTTATCTGACTCACAGAGACTTACCAGCCTGCAGTCACTGAAGAGGAGCTGAAAGAGACGACTGAGGGGACTGTGTGACCTCAATCACCACCCATGTATTGTACAGCCTACAGCTGACTAAACAAACAGAAAAATGCGCAGCCGTATAGCTGGTCTTGATATTTATACTGTATTGTGATCTGATCTTTTTACAAACTCATTTGAAAACTACATTTACATGTCTGCAATCTTCACACAAATCCCAAATAAAAGCACAGCCACGCAATATAATGCAAGAAGGAACAGCATCCTTTAGTCAGTCGTAACTACGGCCATAAAAAGCATGAACATATGTGATTGCAACATTATAATTGCAAACATGTGCTGCCACTAGTCCATTGAGAGCTTTTATTGTCACCAAGAGGGCCGTCTTCGTAAGCTGGAAAACAAAAAACAACTTGGACTTCTTACAGTGGAAGAATCTCTTTCTTTAGATCCTTGGAAAAAGCTCAACAAGTTCAATAAGAAATAATCAGTTATCATCAGTTAACTAACACATGTTTTTCCATTGCATAATGTGATTGCAATTTGATGATTGATGATTTTGCAGAGTGGTTTGTGATGAATCATCCACTGAATGTAAATAAGGCCAGAGAGATTGTGATCAGCTTCAGAAGGAAGAGGACAGCTACAGAGCCCATCACTGTCCTGGGACAGGATGATGCTGTGGTGTGACACAGGCAGTGTTGGTCAAGTTACTTGAAAAAAGTAATCAGTAATTAACTACGAATTACTTCCCCAAAAAAGTAATCCCGTTACTTTACTGATTACTTATTTTCAAAAGTAATTAATTACTTAGTTACTTAGTTACTTAGTTACTTTTTAAAAACATGATTTA